TAGCAACCAACATGAAATTGCCGAAATGGTCGTAAACGTAACTTCTGTCGAGGGCTGATATGATAAAACGATAGTTAATATTATTGTAAAATAAATTATATGAACACATGTTATGTGTTTCAGCAGCAAAATTGTTGCCAATATTTTTGACATTTGATTGTTGATGGTAATTTTCTGAATTAGTCGAAGCATATGTTGTTTAATATTTTCAATATCAGAAAAGTATGATAGAGAGAAATCCGTTTAACCGAGATTTTGAAACTGAAGCTTTCCTTTTATAACCTAGAAAATTGTAATAAGGTGTGTTGCACTTTAGACCCCACACCAAACACAGCTTAATTGATAAGACATTCATTTGATGATTGAGGTTGACTATTTTCTCATTCTGCAGGTAAAGTGCATGCTGGGTGCTTTTCCTTCCTAGTCCTAGCTCCTTCCAAGTCCCAATCACAACACAATCTATTTTTTCACATTAAAAATTTAATTATTTCTCCTCCACACTTTCTATGTGTAGATAAAACATGAACACAAAAATAGATTGGAAGGTGTACGAAAACAATAAGAATATATCCCTGTATACGCCGGTGATAAGGAAATCGCCTTTTTAATAGAACATAATAATTATATAAAAAAGAGAATCCGCATCGACCTCTCTATAAAAGTATGGAGAGTCTTTAGACTCCATATCTTCCATGATACTTGTCAGACAGCTAAGATCAATCTTACTTCTTTAATTACATGATCTTTTAGAAACTTTGTTATACGTTTTATTCGATTTTTTTATAGGTCAGAAACTGTAAATCTGTTAACAAGAAAAAAAAAATTTCTCTTGACACAGATTCCGTGCCAGAAAAAAAAACAAATTGCAGAATTAAAAAAATTGGCAAACCTAGCATAAGGGCGATCAAAGAAGACCTTCTTCACTTAACGGGTTCACTTTCTTAGCGAAAAGTGACCTTTAAATTGAGGAGCAGATGTTCAATAATTATTACAACTGCGTGTTTGATGATATATTTTCAAACGAATTTCGATGTAGTTTTTGATTCTTTTAAAATAATGAATGATTTTTTTTTCTTTAGAACAATCGTTTTACATAGAGATATAATTGATAACCGTCATGGTTTTTGTATGAATGGGTTATTGCTAATTGTTTTGAACTATCCAGTTCTGATACGAACCATCACTCAAAGTAAATACTATCTCGTCTGCGGATAACTCAGTGTTAATTTCAAACGGTTCAAATATCAATGAACAGTGTTCTTAGTTTCAAGTTTAAATGGAGATTAAATCGGAAGCAGTTGATTTTTAATGATACAATAAATGTGTGCACGTTAGGAAAATTATCCATTGAAATAAGAATGTTCCCTTTAATTCTTTCACTTTTTAAATTCTTATATTTGAAATTAAGTTTGTACTTTTTTAAATTTCAATAAACAAACTGAATATGGGTATCGAGCCAAACGGTATACAAAAAAAATGAATTTTTACTTACCACTCAGTTCTATACATAATGCAATTGCGTTACAACAGAGGAGCAAGTACACATGTTTTTTACGTGCTGCCAATCTGTAATTATTTTAATATGATAATAAAGCATCAGCATCTTCCGAGGTGTAGAAAGTTCAATGATATTTAAATAGTAAACAAATCAATCAAAAACAAATATAGCATATTTTGTTGTGTTTATATTAATCAAAATATAAAGAGTCTCTTAGCATAATCGTTTTCCATTGATTAGAAAATGGTTTATAACGATTGCTGCCGATGTAATATGTAGTTGAAAATAATGTACATGATTTTCATTTTACTGCTTATTATATGCTTAGCATTTAATTTAGCTTAATTAGTGAAACGTTTGATGTGCTATTAAGCTATCACCGTCACAATACAATCCACTTCAAGATGGCTGCCTAATTTCGTCTTTCTACTTGAAGATGTCTTGGGTCAGATAGTTTTAATGTAAGGTTGTTGTTTTACAAGATATTTTCTTGTTCTGAAGTGTGTAAAATGTTAAGTGTACATAAGTGTACAAAGTACCATCATATTAAAACGTGCTTGGCATAATTCGACTTTCCTCTTCAAGAGGTGGGTATTAACCGAATCACAAAAAGTCGGTATGCACTCGAGTTTTCCTACTTGGCAAAACAGTTGACAGATGCCATAGGATGACATAGTTGTCAGTAATACTCGATGGTGCTGCCAATATTGTTTACCTCATTTAGGGCTATGACTGAATAATAAGTTGTACTATCAAGCTTGCGTTTATTTCTACCTTTTTAATGTTAGTAGGATGGTTTAAACCTTGCTTAAACTTTCTGCCTATCTACAGGAATACATATAAACTCAAACAGATACCTCAATCAAGGATTTGGTAAATATATACAACAAAATTGGTAGATTCTGAAATTTATATATGCTGCTATTAAATAAAACATTATTATATGTCGATTTTGATAGAAAGATTCCCAAACCAGTACACCCTTACGCAATGTACCAGGATAGATCATTCTTGTATTCTTTTTTTTGAATTTTAAATTTCAAATTATACAGCGCCGTGAAAGTGTTTTCATTGATTGACAATGTTGTTATTCTTATTTTATATTCTCTTTTTCCCCCAAACTGTCTGGTTTTTGAGGTTATAGATTCATTAAATTAATTAATTGCATACAACGAATAATAGGAAAACTCATACAATAAAAACAAAAAAGCAAAGACACTTGTATATACTTAACTACAAATTCCTAAAATTAAAAAAACAAAGAAACGTATGCCGTACCTTGAAAGTGATATTTTATACACAAGTAACAAGATATATTATTAAAGACACCTTTACAATAAAAACAAAAACAAAGAAACGTATGATTTGACGAAAAATTCTTATAAGTAATAAACAAAGAAACTTATGCCGTACCTTGAAAGTGATATTTTTATACATAAGTAACAAGATATATAAGAGAAAGAAGAAAAGAAACATACTTTAGATTCCTTTCTTCTATGTTTTCAAAAACAGTTAAATAGTGTAAATGTAACTTAACCATCCGAAAGATAAACCCCAAAGTCTACAGATAAGCCCAGGTTTATTTTCTCAGCAGACCTTTCTACTATACATAGAATAAAGGTTGTCACAGAAAACCGCACGCTACTGATATAGGTCATTACCGTGTTAAACTTTCAAAAGCATGAAGTGTTTTTAGAAGATAACTAAATATTTTCTTTGGATACGGAATTGTTACAAAAAAAGTAGATATCTTAACATGTGTTTTATGTTCACAGTTCTATGTATTGATACAGCAAGAACCTGTGTTGAAAGGATAATCACAATTTATAAGAACTTTTACACCCTTCTGCACTTGACTTACTGCTCTGTTTCTATTCTTGTAAAATTCAGTTACAACATAAAAAGAAGAGTAATGACAATTATTATCAGTCGCGGATCCGGGATTTGATATTAGGGGGAGGAGTTGCGCTCCTGAAAATTAAAAAATATAAAAGGACCTTATTTTGACACATAGTTGGAATTTTACATATATTACATATTTTTCTGTTTTAGTGTATCGCGCATCGGGTGCTCCCCATCTGAATCCGCGCCTGAATATTGAAAACTTCAATTCATACGCGAACCTTGCAATCATACATACATTGTTTATTTGATTTTCTTTAAATATGAGATTTGGTGCAATAAACCCTCCTTTCATATTAAAAGTTCACTTTATTGTAAAATATTTATTCAATTAGTAGTAAAAACAGCAAATTTCTTTTTGTTGTTTGAATTTATACTATCAAAATTAAAACTTTGAATAAACCAGTAAAGTGACTTTAAATGTATCTTTACGTTATCAGACAAATGTTTGTATACTTTCACAATAAATATTAATGTGAGTATAGATACCTTTAAAATTTTGACATTATTTTCATAAGGTATGAAAAGGTCTTAAATAGGTTTACTATTGAATTGAGAACTGGATTAGTTGGGAATGACATTCGGAAAATATCTTAAGTGGGTTGAAAGCCTCATAAGTACTTCTAAGGTTGGTAGGTGGTCAGGCTCGAAAAACAACAATGATCGTAGCCAAAAGTCAATATTGATTTATTATTTGGTTTAACGTAAGTTCTTCTAGTGCGTGTTTTTATTTCGACTAAAAACATTTTCTGAATATTACTTATCTAAAATGTTATAAAAATAGTATGAAATAGTTATAGGAAGTGGGTTGTTTTCGTATTTTGAAATAAACTTTATTTTTTTACCTTTCCCTATTGAATTTAGATAAAGATAAAGCCTGACTAGACATAAATTATTAAAAAATCGATCTAAATACCGTCAGAAAATATTTTGTCTCCTGCATTATGTATTATTTACACCAGTAGCGGAGTACCATTGTCCAGCAACTACAAAATATATGCATTCTGCGTATCAGTGTTCTTGTGCATTCTGGCTGAACTAGTAAACATTATTGTTTAGGGGCCAGCTGAAGCCCGCCTCGGGGTACGGGATTTTCTCGCTGTGTTGAAGACCTTTGGTGGCCTTGGGCTGTTTTCTGCTCTTTGGTCGGGTTGTTGTCTCTTTGACGCATTCCCCGTTTCCATTCTCAATTTTATGTTTTATCCCCTGCTTAATGCATTCTGGTATTATTTTCTTATGCATTCAGATTATCCTCTACGTATATGCATTTAGATTATCCTCTATACGCATGCATTCAGATTATCCTCTACGTATGCATACAGATTAACCTCTACGTATGCATTCTTGGTATCATCGTATATCACTGAAAAGTTGTATCTTGTGATCCGTGAATGAAATAAGGCGATTGCGAAGATGAGATTTAAATGCTTTTTCTAAAGTATGAAAAAACATATTTAAAAACGCCGTGTTGTATAATGATTCTTTATTGTCATATACATAAAACATGATATTATTAATTTGTTCATTGTGTCGTTGGTGCTGTATCATTTCTACTCTACATCTCTTTTTATTCATATTACAAACCTTGTTTTTATTGCAGGTACCTAGGACTGATCAGCTCTTCGCAAACAGATTTACCGAGTGAACCACAGAATGCAGAAGATGTTGATTGTTCAAACTTTAAGTTCTTAGCACCCAGACAGAAAGAACTATGTAGTAAAGAAGCACAGTTACATAAAGTCATTGGTGAAGGCGCAAAAAGAGGCATTGCCGAATGTCAAAACCAGTTCTCAAATAGAAGATGGAACTGTTCCACGTTTAATACAACTGATGTTTTCGGGAAAGTTTTACAATTAAGTAAGTAAATGTTTGACATTCAAACTATGCATACTTAGTTATTGTTTGTCCGACTTCCTATATTTTTGATTGATTTCATTTTTTTTTTTAAACTTTGTGTATTAAGAGGAGGTTGTTCAGAAAATATATAATTCATAAAGGAATCATCAGGAAATTTTTCTTTTTTCATTTTGTAGCAGGTGGCCCGTTTTTCTTTTGATATTCTGAAAGCATAGCTTCTCATACTTTTATTTCAAAATTCTATCATATAGTTTATTTTCTATTCTCATTGGGATGATTTTTCTCTATATAATCAATACAAAATGTGTCATTGTTTCACAACCTGTAACATGAAAACAACTCGGTAACCTATCATTTTTATTATACTTTTGAACATATCACAATATACTAGTACACTACATTTTGGAAAAGTATGACAACATTCTATAACTTTTAGTTTATACTCCCAAACCACCTTAAAGGTAGAACATGACCACCTAAATTCATCTTCTTGTTCTCACATTAAGGCATTTAAGATAAGCATGGAAAATAACACAATTATTCTATAAAAGCATATCATGACATCAAAGCATAACTGCTGCATTGAGATAAATAAAAAGATATTATCAATAATTTCATTACGGCTCTACATATTTTAATCCTATTTCTGCAGAGACAAGAGAAACGGCATATATATATGCAATCCAGTCAGCTGGTATCATGTATGCTGTAACTAGGGCATGTGCAAGAGGAGATTTAGAAAGATGTGGATGTGATACAAAAGTGCGACAAAAAGACACAGATGGACAGTTTGAATGGGGAGGTTGTTCAGAAAACACAAGATATGGTGGTAAATTTTCTAAAGAATTTGTAGACACCAATGAACACAGAACATCAGAAGATGGACTAATGAATTTGTGGAACAATGAAGCTGGTCGAAAGGTAAAAATATGACAGATCACATGACGAAAATTGCCGACTAGTAAAAATGAAACAGACAACACATGCAAAATGTCGGAAATTATAAGTTTTGTTTTGTAGGAGCTTTCGGTAAAGGAAAAAAGCGAAATTCGTTGCAAGTACATATCAATTTTACACTTTCCGCCAATTTTATATCTTGCAAATATATAACATTGCCGTTTAAACGTTTATTTTTGAATTCCCAAGAGTTGGTGTTGTTTTTGTCTTGCAAATAAATTGGCATAACTACAAATGAACTGTTACGTAATCATTTTGTTTTTGATGTTTGTTCAGGACATAATACTATACAAATAAGGCAAAACGTTTTTTTTTTTTGTGCCTCTTATTGTCCCCTGAGCAACGCGTTGTGGGGGACATAGAAGTACCAGGCGTCCGTTCGTCCGTCCGGTCATGTTAGCGCTCTCACGTGTACAATTTTTGCCAATTTTTATAAAACTTATATCATAGGTTTATATCAGCAATGTCTTGGACAAATTCGAAAGTCAGCGCCGATCATTTATTTTTAAAAGAGTTCTGCCACTTGGAAACATTAATTATACGGAAAATTGCATCGTTAGCGCTCTCATTTGTACAATTCTTGCCAGATTTTTATGAAACTTATATCATAGGTTTATATTAGCAATGTCTTGGACGAGTTCGAAAATCAGTGCTGATCATTTATTTTTGAAAGAGTTATGGCCCTTGGAAACATTAATTATATGGAAAATTACATCATTAGCGGTCTCATGTGTTCAATTCTTGCCAGATTTTTATGAAACTTACATCATGAGTTTATATCAGCAATGTCTTTGACGAGTTCAAAAATCAGTGCCGATCAAAATTTTTTTAAGAGTTATGTCCCTTGGAAACATTAAATGTATGGAAAATTGCGTTGTTAGCGCTCTCATGTGTAAATTTCTTGCCAGAATTTTATGAAACTTAAATGATAGGTTTATATTAGCAATGTCTTTGACAAGTTCGAAAATCAGTGATGATCAATAATTTCTAAAAGAGTTATGCCCCTTGATTATATTAATTATATGGAAATGACATTGCACTTGCTCTGAAGCCTTCATTTCTCTAAGATATTAAAAAAAAAGATTCAAAGAACCAAAAAAAAAGTGCTTTTTTCAGTTATTGTCCTTTGTAACTTGGAAAGATAAAATATGTGCAACGCTGGGGACATTGGAACTCTCTTCTTTTATATCTATAGTAAAAGAGAGGCGAAAGATACCAAAGGAACATTCAAACTCGAAAGTCGAAAATAAACTGACAACGCCATGGCTAAAAAGAAAAAGACTAACAAACAAACAACAGTACACAAAAAACACAACATAGAAAACTGACTGAGCAACACGAACCCAATTTGCTGATTTCAGTACAAAAGTACTGTTACCAGTAATGGGCCTACTTCTGCTATTAACAAACAAGAGCGGAAAATTTATCCTAAAAAGGCAAAATTTCTTGGTGCTGCCAAAGGAAATGGAAAATATGACATATTCCTTTTGTTTCGGTGAAAACTTGCGGTTGAGCATGACTTCTCATATATTTAACGAATGAAACTTATTTGTTTTTTATTACGTTTTTTCTTCGTACGTTCTTAAAAAAATAATGTAACATGTATCTTTATTTTTACAGGCCACTAAATCACAGATGGATCTACTATGTAAATGCCATGGAGTGTCCGGATCATGTAGTGTAAAAATTTGTTGGAAAAAATTGAAAAACTTTCAAGCTATTGGAAAAGCACTGAAAGACAAATTTGACGGTGCAAGCTTAGTCCGTTTTATTAAAAATAAAAGAAAACTAAAACGAATTAATAGAGATATGAAAAAACCTACGAAAAAAGACTTAGTTTATCTTCACGAATCTCCAGACTTTTGTAACCAGAACCCTAATTATGGGTCATTAGGCACACAAGGACGAAAGTGTAATAAAACAAGTTTCGGACTTGATGGATGTACCCTAATGTGCTGTGGAAGAGGGTATTATACCATCATTAAAGAAATCAAAGAAGATTGTGACTGTAAATTCGTTTGGTGTTGTCGAGTTGACTGTAAACGATGCACGCAAGTTGTGGAAGAGAATTATTGCAATTAGATAAGATAAAATGTGTATAACGTCAGTAGAACTGCAGTCATAAATACACCAGCGAATTTATTTGTGCTATACATGTTTATGAAATTGCTGATATTTGTGAAAATGAAGCCATATATAAATATGTAAATACAGTCATATGAATTCAACATAATATATTAAAACGGGTACCGATTTTTTCTAAGCGCATTGATGTTTTTTTCATGATGAACGATTTGGTTATTATACTGGATATTCAGTGCACTGTTTATATACACTCTTTGTTACATATACAAATTCGTCATAATCTCTGTAATACAGAAGGAGGACGTCGTTTCGTCTACACTTTTTTTGTCCTATGTGTAAAATCAATTGCTGGTGTTTTTTCCTGCTAAGATGTATATAACGCTGCAAAATATATACTGTGTAAAGCTGCTGCCACCAGCAATGGCCAATTCTAAAACAATAGTTTAACTTTACACATAATTTTTACGTTAACACGTGTATGTAATTTTAATTTTAAGGTTTGTTTCACATCTTTATAATGAGAACAATATATTACATGTTTTTTTTTTATTCTTTATGCGGTCACTTCGTTATATTTTTCTTCAAGCCACATTGTTATTTGCGGTACAATATATATGCAAATGTCTGGTGTTATATTAAAAATGCAAAACACAATTGTATTATCAAATTTGTGATTTTTTGCATAAACTATAAAAGTAAAAAAAACTGCATAACATTATATTACACATATTTGCTCATTTTTTCTTTCATTGTTTTAATTTAATAAACTATATTAATGTTTATGTAACTTTCTTTGCATCCCTATACAATCTATATAATATATATATATATATACAAAAAATGCAAAACAATAAAAAAAGTTAGCGTTATTAATGATACGAGATTCGTTCAGTATGGTGCTATATAAATAGGTAGATATTTATTGGACACTGTACAATAGCCAATACCGCACAGTTTACGTTCAATGTTTGCAAAAAAGGTTAAATAACTCAAGACACGGACTGCTCTTTTGATGTAGATAAGAATACTTACAAGAAATAAAGATAAAATAAGGACGTCAAGATCAGATGGCTTAATCCCGGCCACACTAAAGTGGAAAGTCAGCATGTCGCGTATGTACAGACAATATTCTTATCAGAATAATACAGGTTATGTATAAAATAACAAAAGAAGAAAAGTATAATTTTATAATAGGAGACAATAATATCCCTTTATCTATTCCTTACAATCATAACCAAAAAAAGCTTCATCATTAACAAAACTTTCAAATTAAAAATGTAAATACAGATTAATTCTAAAATCTAATGAAAAAATAACAAAATAACTGAATGCGTTTCTTTTCAGGACAAGCATGTTGATTTTAGGAATAGGCACACACAGCCTATCATTTCAAAAATCAATTTTTGCGATGAAAAGGTATAGTATTCTTTTCTTTAAGGATCAAATATTCTATTAAGTTCACAGGTAGATGCGAATGTAGATAAGAGGAAAATTATATGTTATTTTGTTGTTTTAGTTATTTTAGCAAGTAAGTTCTAAGTTCAGTTTATTTAGGATTTTGTTCGGGCTTTGTTCCGAGTTGACGCGGCCTACGTTGATGGATTACCATATCAAATTGTTATTCAAATAGAAAGTGACAATATTGTATCTATACACGATAACAACACTGAAATATGATCTGCCTAGCTATTTGACGTTGTGAAATTTGAAAACATTTTTAAATGTATCAAGCCCTTTCATAAACTTGGTAAAGAAATCAAGCTACTTGGATTTCTCCCCGTTTATGTTAATTCACGAGCAGATTAGTTACTAGTAGAACCATTTCTTACTCAAATTCGAGTTTATGCAATTCCTACAGTTGTATTTTTTTACAAATCGATTAACGAGATTTTAACATCGGAAAATTACGTCTGCCTCTACCTTTCCATCGTTCTGAATATGCCTGAAGTACTTTCCACTGGACGTTATAGACCATACAAGAACCAATTAATCAATAAATATTACCTTCCTAATAGCATTCCTGTCCTGTAATGCCAGGTTCCCTTTTCTCATCTTGATAGACTAATAAGATTTTTTGGTACCGTAAGCAAGCTAATGACAACCATGCCAAGCCCTTAAAACTTCAAATAAAATCTAGATTCGTCCAAATACATCTTATAAAAATGAAAATATACAAATGTCTATACAATATGTCTAGCTCCAAATCGTCATTTGTGTAGAAAACTTTTCAATAATTTTAACAGTGAGATATTACACAAGATCTGCCCTCAACACCTAAGTTCCTACATGGATACAAAACCCTTTTAGATATACCAGCAGACAATATCTGAAGGGGTTATTGAATTGGGATAGGCATATCAACATTTCTATTTAAATCTCACCTCTATGAATCACTCTGAGGTCCGCATAAGAGCTCCTTGATTGGTGCAGTAACAATTGGGTATACATAAAAGAAGGCACAAAACGTATCATCAGCTCAGAAGTCAGCACTTCAGTGTTCACACGAATTATCATTGATGTGGTCATAATTTTAAATTAACTGTTTTGCAAAACTTTGATTTTATTCGAAATTCAAAGGATTTTCTACCCCAGGAATAGATTACCTTAGCTTTATTTGACAAAACCTTTCAGAATTTTGGGTCCTCAATGCTCTTCAACTTCATACTTTATTTGGCCTTTGAAACTTTTTTTTTCGAGCCTCACTGACGAGTCTTTTGTAGACGAAACGCGCGTCTGGCGTACAAAATTCCTGGTATCTATGATGATTTCTTGTTATATTGTTGATATCAACTATAAATACATGCACTGACTATTTTCTCAACACACAACTTTGCAAAAGTTTGTTAACTGAATGAATTTAATAATATCTTGATTATTTGTTAGTTACTTCTAAATACTGTTACTGAAAAAATAGAAAATGTCTAATGAGAATATTTTTATATAACTAAAAAATAATTAAAATTTTGGTTTGGAATGTTCATATGGTGTTAAGATATTACGATTAATAAAGCAATTTATTAAGGCGATCACTGTTAAATTTGAATAAATTGGTAACACCATGAACTTGTTTGTATTAAAAAAATAAGAAGCTAAATAAAAATCAGAAAATATTCTAATAATACTATTCCATTTACCCATGCCATGATTTAATAAGAAAACACCTGGACACATGCATCTGTAGCAAACATCAAACATCATTCAACGAGATTCTAATGAAACGAATTTAGTCGACGTTTATAGGACCTCCACAGTCGTGATCAGTGAAATTTTACCCACAGAAACAGTCGTATCAAACTCATCATCTCATCTAGATTGAGATAATAGGAAACTATTTTGTCTTTTATAAGTCTGCACTTGTGCCTTTAATAAACCATAACATTAACATCAAAAGTTCTTATTATCATAAACCACAAACTCAATTTGAAACTTATTTCCAAGTTTAACCACCCTTGGCGACCCTTTATAGTAATTTTGTAACTTTTTAGTTTTCATTTCGGTTAATTTGTGTTACTGGGTTCTTCTAAATTGATAAATTTGTTTCTGGTACAGTTTTCTTTGGCAATCTTTAGAAATTCGTAATAATATAACAATCCATTAAAGATGAATGATATAAATTGAGACATACCAGGTTCAGGTTTCTTCTTTATAATCAACAAAAAAGTGATAAAATATTCCCAAAAGTATTAGATTGATGGACATAATCTAATTGCTGACCAACACTAATTTGACCAACCGTTAACGATCAATTCCAATTTGTTTATTTTTCATTTCCACTTAATAGTGTCCCCTATCTACCATTTGACAGCTAATACTAAGAACGTAGGAGCATATTAAAATTATATGGAAGCTCAACGGAAGAAAGTTATTCCTCCATTGTGCTAGAAAATATGCTGCTATGAATTCTCTGTTTGCTTTACAGCTTGACATGGCTATCCTTATGTACCTTGTATGAGGATATAATTAAAAATACCCTGTCTCTGGTGCTTCACTCACTCTATAGCTATTGGATACGATATGTAGAATGTTATTGTAACAAGCTTATTCACAAGTTTGTGTATTATTTGAGGAAAGATATAGTAACCACTGTGCACAGGAGAAATATAAATTATGTTAATATATATGTATATACAATTATTTTTTTGACATGTCATATTTGTATTACAATAATATACATACGGTTAAGCACAGCATTGTGCTACATATACTAATACATCACCTGAAAGTTGTGTACAATAAATGGAGAATGTGTTCATGGGACACATATGATACCCCGCTTGCATATAACGTTATATAGGGGCATAACTCGAGAACGGTAAAAGTGACGCCACCAAATTCAAACTTTATCTGTGTTTTGTGACGGCGGGAGCATAAAAAGGGTTAAATTCATCCGTATGATTGTTTGTTTATTTGCTTAACGCCGTCCAGTTGGAAAATATATCAGGACGGGAACTAATAAACTAAAAATACAATAGGTGGTTGGTTTGGTGTATTGTACTGTCCAACAGATTTTTGAAATTTAAGTTTTCCTTTTATGTAATATTCTGAAATGTGGGTCGAAACATATTTACAAATATTTAGTGTCGCAAAGCTCATTTATCTTCTTAAGAATATCAATACAGATGAATACAATTATGATAAATAAAATTACATATATAACACCACATTATTATATATCCCGTACTGACGTTCATTCGGGGCAGACTATTTATTGTCGAGTACAGATATATTTATGAAATTTTTATTTGATATGTACAAAAACTATGTATGACCATTGATAAATAAAAGACAAATTATTAGAGTGAATAAAACCAATGAATTGTACAGGAAAAGGAGCAGATATACAATTCATTGATAAAACATAGGACAGATTGTCTTGACAAACAATTCTCCTTCCTTTATCTGAAATCTTGAAATCTTGACGTTCATTCACAAAGACCGCGTGTGGTTGCTGATAACATCTCTAGATACAGTAATTCCGAAATTAAAGAAAACATGCTCCAAAGTTACAGAAACGAAACATCCATATTTTATGCCAACCACTGAACTTATACGTGAACAAAATGTGAAAACAAAATATAAAATTTCATATTAGCTCTACCGATAGCTCTATCAAATGAAATTACTACTTGTTGCTGTAAGCCAAATGACATGAATTTTTAAAGGAATTTACAGGATGCCTGGAAAGTATCAAAACAAGTAAATTTAAAGCAACACAATTAATAAAGAGAACCCTTTGAAAAGCCAAGGATGAAAACTATTGCTAAAAAGTAGTTGATTTCTGCTCCTAATAGGACACATAATGAGTCATGACAAAAACAAAATATCCAGAGTAGTCTGTGAAACGTACATATCGTACGAAATAATCAGTTAAGAAATAGGACGTCTACCTACTGTCTGTTGGTTGTCGTTTTGAATAGCTTCTTCGTCGAGGTCAACCTTGCTGTATACATATTGAAATAAACTTTAGGAATCGATTAAGGATGCTTTTTTCACATTTTCCTTTTTATACTCAATCCTAAAAATATCTATCAAGCAAACCAGTATACAAGTCTAAATTCAAAACAACGTTCAAACCTATGATTGCGTTGGATAAAAACCGCAATTTTATACGTGTGCATGCAAAACAAATTTCTTGTTAGAGGGGTCTAAATACAGCACAAACAACATTTTCAAAAAGACAAAAAAAGTGAAAAAGTATATCATATTTCATTTATTTTCTTATATAAAATATATAAGAAAATAAATGAAATATATAATGACGGTTTCAATTCATATCGGAA